CCCATTGATGGACATTTGTGTCCTTGTTTCAGTCTTAAAAGTAATATTACATTCATTTTATCCCAAAGAAGTATAAATATTAGCCATTCAAATATCCGTCAAAAGAGTAGTGGATAAATTGTGATGTATTCTTCCAATTGAATACTAAACAGCAGTAAAAAATGAATGATCCATTGTTATATGCATTAACATGGATTAATGTCAGGAACAATAATGTTGAATTTAAAAAGCCACAGAAGAATGCATATGTTAGTGCTCCATGTATATAAGTTGAAAAATAAGCAGAAATATTGTGCTTAAAGATCTATCCATGATGAAAGTAGAGGCATTTACCAACACCATTAGGGTGTGTCTGGTGTGAACATGTTGGGGGAGAGGCACAGGGAGCTTCAAGGTGTTATTAATAGTCTTCTGTTAAGCTGAGTTGTAGTTACTTGAGTGCTCATGTTGTTTTTTAAATATATTATACTCACTAGTTAACGATACTGTGCAATTAAAATAATGCTGTAGTAAACATCTTGGTACATCTATCTTTATGCAGATTTTAGTACCATTATAGTATAGATTCCCAGTGGTATATTGCTCGGTCAAGGGGTATGTGCATTTTAATTTGATAGATCCTGCCTAACTGCCCTCCAAAATAATCAAGTCTTAGAGCTCTAGCAGTGCTTAAAATTGTTAAATTCTTAAACCTGCCATCAACTGTAAGATGTGTAATATACAAATGAACTATAAACTAGTAGGTGAGAGAGTAGAAGGATTTGGTTTTAGACAATAAGAAAATGCAGAAGGAATATTAATGATCAAATAAAAAGAACAAGGCCATTGTGTGATAAGGTTAAGTACTTAATACAAAATTTTAGGCTAATGAAAGCTGTTGAGAGTGAAAGTCACATTTCTTCTCTAGATCAAATATTAACCAGCGTTAAGAAAAGGTACTCAAATTTGTTTTTTTGTTTGTTTTTAGTCTGTGATCCTCCAGAGAGATTGATTTACATTGTATATGTGGATTAGTTTGGTAAGCAGGTCTTAAGCAAACATAACAGAGAGTTCATATCTTTTCATCCATTTAAGTATGTGGTAAACCTACCTATTCCTTTTTGGAGATTCTCACTAGCAGCAGACAGCACCAACCAGAAGAGTAGGTAGATCCGTTAAAGGCTGTCTACAGGTGTTAACCAGTTCAGGAAGGGAGTCATTTGGTAGTTTAATGTGCTGCTCTGGTCTTGAAAGCCTTTTCTTTAAAAAATAAATTTGTTTTTATTTTTTGGCTGCGTTGGGTCTTCATTGCTGTGCATGGGCTTTCTTTCATCGTGGTGCACGGGCTTCTCATTGCAGTGGCTTCTCTTGTTGCGGAGCACGGGCTCTAGGCACATGGGCTTCAGTAGTTGTGGCACATGGGCTCAGTAGTTGTGGCTCGCGGACTCTAGAGGGCAGGCTCAGTAGTTGTGGTGCGCAGGCTTAGTTTTTCCACGGCATGTGGGATCTTCGCAGACCAGGGCTTGAACCCGTGTTCCCTGCGTTGGCAGGCGGATTCTTAACCACTGCACCACCAGGGAAGCCCTGAAAGCCTTTCTATCAAAACCCATTTGATAAAGAACGTTAGATATTCCAGGTTCTAGCTTTTGTAAATAATTGAAGCCATGATTTTTTGGAAGAGAAGATTAGAAAAGATTAATAGATGAAGGAGGAAGGGAAAGCAGAAACTTCTTGGTAATGTGGTAAAACAAAGTAAATCATGTATATAGACACATTTTAAGAAAGGTGATTATAGGGGCTTCCCTGATGGTGCAGTGGTTAAGAATCCGCCTGCCAACGCAGGGGACGCAGGTTCGAGTCCTGCTCCGGGAAGATCCCACATGCTGTGGAACAACTAAGCCCGTGCACCACAACTACTGAGCCTGCGTGCTGCCACTACTGAAGCCCGCATGCCTAGAGCTCCTGCTCCACAACAAGAGAGGCCACCACAATGAGAAGTCTGCGCACCGCAACGAAGAGTGGCCCCCGCTCGCCACAACTAGAGAAAGCCCGTGCGCAGCAACGAAGACCCAGTGCAGCCAAAAATAAATTAATTAATTAAATATATTTTTTAAAAAAAGAAAGGTGATTATAGAGGATTAAGTTTTTTGGCTCTTTAGAGACAGTAGGTTGATAAGTCACTAGGGCTTCCTTAACGTGTAAGGAGAAAACAGGCAAAGGAGAGCACTGATAACTTTCAGATATTTGCTACGGGGTAAGAAAATGTATTTGGGGCTCTATTAATATTGGTCCTTTTTTTTTAATTTTATTTTTTTTATTGAAGTATAGTTGATTTACAATGTGCCCATCTGTGCTGTACAGCTAAGTGACTCAGTTATACACATATAGACATTCTTTTTTTATATTTTTTCATTATGGTTTATCAGAGGATATTGAATAATAGTTCCCTGTGCTCTAGAGTAGGACCTCGTTGTTTATAGTCCTTTTGATTTAATTTCACATATTTTCTTTTCTAGCAGTTGGTGCTGAAAATTCAGAAAAAGTAGATGAAAATTCGGACAAAGAGATGGAAGTAGAAGAATCTCCAGAAAAGATTAAAGTACAGACAGCACCCAAAGTAGAAGAACAGGACTTGAAAGTGTGTATATTACTTAATGCAACTTGACAAATAAGTATTTTTAAATTGGCGAACCATTTTAAATAGGCCAACTACTTTCTTTTAGCAAGTAGTAAAAAGTAATCTTTACTATCTCCAAATATAAATCATTTATCTGGTTAGGTGAAAAGGTTATATATAAGGCTGAAATAAGGAGCTATGAGACTGACTTGATGTAGAGAAATTATCTAAAAATAAATTCTAAATGCTTTCTTACTTATAAGTAAGTCTCCATTGGAAAGCAGTAGCTTATCAAATACAGGCTTCTCTAGTTTGGAAGTACTAAAGAGACTCAAGTCACAAACTTAATTCCTGCATGAACTACTTGTCCTTACACAAAGGCATATTTGTTTGCAATTTCATTTCTGTTGCTAATGTCATGAGAAGAATTGGACCAAGTAAGTATGTGGCTCTTAAAGTGTGATCTGTTGGAAAAACCACTTAGCATATTCTTTTGACTTGAAAGAGTTTGTCCACTCACCAGCTAGTGTACAGCTGTGTAGATGGGACTGGGAGAATTAATTTTGTTCAGTGTGGGGCTAGTATAAGCAATTAGTAATGGATAAATGATGGCTTGGACAATATTGGGGGTTATGTCATTTAGGACCTATTTTCAACTTGCATATCGTATTAGAGTAGATAGTGCGTCTAATTTCTCTTGACCTTATTTAACACTTTGTTATGTGAATTATTTTACAGTTTCATCTTGTACATAACTAGTTGCGGTATGTGAGAAAGGCTGTTTACAGGCAGACCCATTTTTCTAGTATCTTCAACGATAAATGAAAGATTTTACATAATAAAGAAAATTTTGCTGACTCTGTTTTTGTTTTTCCTTTTTTTTTCTTTCCTGCATTACAGTTTCAGATTGGAGAACTGGCAAATACCCTGACAAGTAAATTTGAATTCTTAGGCATTAATAGGCAGTCCATCTCCAACTTTCATGTGCTGCTTTTACAGACTGAGGTAATTTAGCCATTTTTAGTATAAACAGTCAGTGTTTGAATGAAATGCTGTGTGTGTGAGGAATCTGTCTTATTTATGTTTTGATCCTAAATATAAATTTTTAATCTTGATGTATATTTGAACCACCAACCCAGGAAATAAAACTGTGTATTAGCCAAAGCAAAACATAATTATGGAAATAAATACTGAGAGTTTGTGTATGATGATGATACTTAACCCCCTTGAATTGGCATATATTGTTTTTCTAAGAAATTAAAATTCTGTTCATAGTGATGATGAGACCACATAATGTTGAAAGCACTTTATAAGTGTTAAAGCATTATAGACTTTTTTGGCGGGGCGCAGGCTGGGGTGGCACTCGGCTTTTGGGATCTTAATTCCCCCACCAGGGATCACACCCGGGCCCATGGCAGTGAAAGCGAGGAGTCCTAACCACTGGGTCGCCGGGGAATTCCCTATAGGTCTATTTAAAAAGAGAAGTTCTGGATCCTATTTGTAACCTGTGTACTTTACAATAAATAGGATTAGGTAAGGAATTCCTGTAGGAAGTTGACTGATTTCCTTGAGAACTAAACCTTTAATTTTGATTAATAACATTACTTAATTGAATGAACTATCTACCCAAAAAATAAAGTTACTGGGGAACCATCTTAATATAGTCCAAAGGGAAAAACAAATCTACTGCTACTCATTTTCACAGATGTTGGAGATTTGACAGTACTGGGGTCCAGTCTCATTTTTGAGAACTCTGAAGAGCAAACAAGAGTTTTTAGGATGGGATTTCTTCTCCTGTTTGGTCTAGTCTGCTGCCAGAGTATACGTCATGGACCAGAAGACTTACGTTCCTTTTACCTCTGCCTCCTGACATAATAATAAGTCTTTAACTTACTGCTTTTTTATTTTAGACACGGATTGCAGACTGGCGGGAAGGGGCTCTTAATGGAAACTACCTTAAACGAAAACTTCAGGATGCAGCAGAACAACTAAAACAGTATGAAATAAACGCCACTCCTAAAGGCTGGTCCTGCCACTGGGACAGGTACGCACTCTTCTCCCCTTTTCACCTTTCACCTTTGACATCTCAGACTTGATTTGTGATCACCACCACCTGACGACCTGACAGCCTGTCTGGAGACTGAGAGCAGCTGCGTTAGCGGTGCTGGGCAGGCAGAGCACCCCGAGCACTTGCAGAGTTTGGGCCAGCCACACGTTGGAGAAACAAAAAGCAATGTCTAAAGTGTTCCATGTAACGGATTTTTTCCCAAGATTGGACAAAGCTGGTTTTTACTCCAGAGTGTTGTTGCACGGAGTAGGGCGGGCTTGGGGGTTAAGCGCATGCGAGAGCTCTGTGCGCTTTACAGGACCTCTGGAAGCAACTACTCCTGATTAACCTCGGTGAAGTTAAGGAAAGCTTCGTGGCTGAAGATGTGAATGAAGAACAAGATTACTATCTTCTGCCAGCAGGTCAGATGAAAACATTTCTTTTTATATTTGGCTTTTCTTGATTTTTTTTTCGTTATTTGAAATCTTTGCTCTTTTATTTTTCAGCTCCCAGATCCTCTCCCTCTCTTTAGCTTTCACTGTGTTTGGTATCAAGAGTATGAAATGTGAATTCCACGGTTCAAGAGGGGAAGAGTCACCTTTCGCAAACTTCGTTCTCTTCTTTGGAAGGGAAATTAGTGTTCTAGGAGATTGAGTCCCTTTGCTAATGAAACTTGAAACCCTGTTAAGCATTGGCAAAAAAAAAAAAAAAAAAAAAAATAGATGTGAGAGGTGTTTTTCTAAGTCATCTGTTGGAGTGAGAGGGCTCAGGGCTGTATTCACAGAGCTGCTGGCAGTGCAAATAGCTTTGAATTATCCTTGGTTCTCCATCCTCAATTGTCAAAGCTCTTTGTTGCCTTTGTGAATAGCAGTCCATTAAGAAGAGGTTCGTCCCTGTGAGAGCAGACTGCTGTCCTGGGACAGGACCAAATGGAAGTGTCTTTGTAGGAGAATGGGTCTTAAAACATGTGTTTTCTTTCTTGTAATTTAGGGATCATAGACGATATTTCTATGTAAACGAACAGTCGGGCGAGTCTCAGTGGGAGTTCCCAGATGGTGAGGAGGAAGAGGAAGAAAGCCAAGCACAAGAAAGTAGAGATGAGACTCTTCCTAAACAGACCTTGAAAGACAAAACTGGCGCTGACTCAAATTCTACAGACTCTTCCGAGAATTCCACAGGTGGGACAATTTACCCTATATTAATTGGAGAGAAATTATTTTAGAGGAAAAAAAGACTTGTATTAACATGTAAAAGAAAATAATTTAAATCATAATCACATAAATTTCTAACTAAAAAATAATGGCTTGCCCTAAGGAAAAGAAAAAAAGAATGCAGGGCTTATGTTGAAGAAAACTAAGGTAGTGGCTAGTTGGAAATAAGCATACTATTGATACCAGCCAGACCCTGCTAAAAAATAAAATAATGAGCCGGTGTATTTTGATTTTAAAAGATTGTCCTATAACTATTCTGTCATGCCACAGACGAAGCTGTGGATTTCCAATAACAGGAATTCTAATTAATGCTAAGGAACCAGTTATTTAAATTGTCGATATTTATGTGGAGTAATAAGAGATTTGTTCTGCCTTTCTGTAGAGCACTTAGTCTGCTGATTTTGCAACCTCATTATTACACTTCACTAATCTTGTAGGAAGTATGGTTGTTACAAACCAAAATGATCTGAATAAATGCTGTGAAACTAGGACCATACTTGTTTCAGAGAAGCAAAATAATTTATCATTGCAAATCATCAATATTCTCGTATAAAACAATTAAGATGGCTCAATCCAGTTAAAGTACTCTTAGGGAACTTCAGTTTGGTTATATAAATTTTTTTTTTCTTTTTTTTTTTTTTTTTTTTTTGCGGTGTGCGGGCCTCTCACAGTTGCGGCCTCTCCTGTTGCGGAGCACAGGCTCCAGATGCGCAGGCTTAGCGGCCGTGTCTCACGGCCCAGCCACTCCGCGGCATATGGGATCCCCCGGACCGGGTCACGAACCCGCGTCCCCTGCATCGGCAGGCGGACCCTCAACCATTGCGCCACCAGGGAAGCCCTGGTTATATAAATTTAAGAAAGAAAAAAAAGGCTTTCACAGTTCTTCATTTACTCTGAGAATCTGAAGAACCATTGCTTGATTTCCTTATTATGGAAGAAGATACATTGTTTTTTTTCCTCGAAGTCCATCTTTCTTGGAATGACAAAAATAAGTGGCTAATGAAGCATAGTCAAGACTGTGATGAACAAACAGCCATTCAATCTGAAAAACGGTAGATGTTTGTTTAAATGATAGCATGTAAAGGTAAGAATGTTGTGGAATGATTTCTAAAGTCATAAATGTTTGTGAACTGTATTCAATATTTTGTAATAACCTATAATGGAAAAAATCTGAAAAGTATATATGTGTATAACTGAATCACTTTGCTGTATGCCTGAAACATTGTAAATCAAACTATACTTCAGTTTTTTTTAATTAAAAAATAAAGTCACAAACCTTTGAGGATAAAAAGATAGTTCAGGTCACTCAAAATAGGCAGCCTATGACTGCAGATAATTTTAGAACATAGCAAAAAAGTGGTTTTCTATTTCAGAAAAAAATTTTCTTAAGTTACAGGGTGTACCGTTTCCATGAAGAGATTTTCTATAGATTACTTTCTCATTCTTTGGGCAGTGAATAGTAGATACGTCTAGTAATTGGTTTTATTTACTTTTTAATAGTTAGTGAACTGAAGAGGCTTGATGGTGGTTCTCGTTTGGTGATTCCCTTCTTGACCAGTGTCTAATGTCCCTTCTTATATGTTCTAAAGCTGAATATTCTAGAATTGCTAATGCTAAGTGTTGTGTGAATACCTTAGAGTTAAACATTAAGTTACTTTCTCCCTTTGTTAATGACACGCAGTTGGTACTGTCTGATAAAGGAAAATGCCACTGGTAAACCAGCTTATGTTTTTGAGCCTGTTGATTGAGAGCTACTAAAACCACGTGATAAACTTGATCTAAATGAAATCCAAATCTTGTACTAAGGTCTTTGGAATTGAAGAGCAATACCAATCACTATTTTAAGCCTGTAAAGAAAGTTTATAATGCTTGCTTTTTGTCAGCCCAACAGTGGTTAAAATCATCTTTTAAAGAAGAAAAACTATACACTGAGGGGCAAGGAAGTTTCAAAGTTCTGTTCATTGTTAGTCCTTGTTCATTGTTGCATGTTTGAATTTGACATTATATCTCTTAAGATGAGTGATACTTCAAGATACCGTGTCTGTTTTGTTGGGCTTTTGTCAGGTTAAGTTAAGCTGCTTTTCAAAAAGTCTCTGTGGAATTATTATTTCTATAATAATTTCTTGATTTAAACTGATAAACTGGCCTCTTGCCTCAAAATACTAAGCAATAATACTTTTGGGGGGAATATAGGAAAACAATAAAGGAAGCCTACCTTTATAAGAAAGAAAGCCTGATTTTCTATTTATATAGAAATAAAGATTCATAGAAAAAATATGTTCTTGGAGAATTCAACATTTGTATCCTCACAGTATTCTGTTTTTAAGCTTGATAGTTTAAAAAATTTATTAGCACATAATAAAAGCTATGTATATACCATTTTAATCTCTCCTTGGACTTCAGACTTAATGTTCTCTTAAATGGCAAAATACCTCAACTGGGTTAAATTTAGAAATGAAGAGAAGCAGTATGTGATATGACATCCATGGATATTCAAACTAGGATTTCTCGAAATTCTTTGTATGTAAGCTAAAGGAGATAATTATCAGTGTTACGATGCAGCTTTTATGTTTTGAGTAAACTTAGTTTAGGATTCAAATATTAACTCTAAAAGTGCTCCTTGTATGATCTAAATTTATCAAGTCTAGTTTGTTTCCTATTTACAGAAAGCTCAGTTATTTCTGATTAACTTTGTTGAAGGTTGTAAACCACATTATTAATCTTGAACCTACTGTGTTTTCTTGATTTCCTCTGCATAGCAGCTTCTCACCATCATAAACATACCAGTATTGCATTATGCTTCTAGATGAGAAACCTACCAACATATAAATCTGACAAGTTTGTTTACCTACCATATATTATGGTTGGTTTAGTAAAAGGAAGTTTAATAATTTATTAATCCTCAATGTTTACTTCCTCAGTTCTGATGTAATCTTGATGTACTATTATGTAATGTAGTAGACTGCCTGCCCATACCCAAACTGTCTGCCAGTTAGTGTAGAGATTCATAAAGGTTAATGAGACACTTGAAGTCTTTTAGCTGGAAAACTACATTCTTGTTTTCTGGTGAATTTTTTTCAGTTTCCTTTTCCTTGGTAGTAAGCAGTTTCTCAAAATAGTTAGAGTAACCGTGTGAATTATGTTCAAGTCTCTTACATAATGTATCACCTACCTGTTCCATAAAAAAGTGAAGCTATTCTAAAAGCCAAATGGTTCATGGCTGCTTTGGTTTTACACTGTTGAGTGCCAGTGTGCTGTATTTTGAGCAAAGTAAGGTAAAAGGCCTTATCCTTTTTCTAGAGCCTTTTATAATAGAGTCGTTATTTAATCTACTGCTTTGACCATGGAATTTGACAGGTGACGGCATCTGGATCTCTACTCCACGAGAAGTGAAATTTGAGATTTCTAACGCTCTTAGACTCCTGATATTTCACCAGGACATCTTGTTAAAATAGCACTAGGGGAGTTCCCTCGTGGCCTAGTGGTTAGGATTCTGGGCTTTCACTACTGTGACCCGGGTTCAATTCCTGGTGGAGGAACTGAGATCCTGCAAGCAAAATGCACGGCTCGGCAAAAAAAAAAAACTAGCACTAGACTAGGGGTCAGACTTGACCACTAAGAGCTATATGATCTTGGGCAAGTCATTTCCCTCCTGGGTTTCATTACCTTTAAAATGAGAGGGGTAAACTAGACGATGTCTTATGTCTCTTCTACTCCTAAATTCTATGATTTTAGGGAGAAAATCCCCTTCAGCATTCCTGGGATATATATCTAATAGTCCCAAATATTGTGAAACTTCCCTATTGACGATAAAGAGGGATGGGGAAGGCTGCAAGTAAGTATATCTTCCTATTTTCTCTAATCTTTAAAGCTTTTCCCAGCAGAGAAAGGGCAGTAATTAACTATGACTTTTGCAAATTTTGAGGAAAGCTAACCCTGCAGCTCCTCAGCTATAATTTCTTAACTTCAGCAGCCATTTCAAATCCTCCATATCTTCAAACACCTCTTCTCTGTGTTATATTTATCATTATCATTTACCTTGAAGATTCATGCTCCCTGATTTCCCTTTTCTCGTCACAGGAATAAAAAATTACCCTCCCTCATTTGTTGCTGTGATTTAGCAAATGAATAATTCACACAAAGATGTGAAGGAATGATAGGATTGACAATATCACCTTGCAAATGGATTTTTGAAACTTAGTAACCCAAATTAATTGAAATGGGTAGAGTTTGTATGAGTGTTTTGAATGTGTACTTCTCTGGGTCATCCTTAATTTCTTATCTAGCTCACTAAAAGATAAAGTACATGGAATCAGTATTGCAAATGCACATCATTCACTCACTTTTGAAATAAAGAAGACCCCAGAATGTTGCCTTCTAGTTGTGTACCTTTGAAATAAACTTCAGGTTCAGATGACTGAATTTCTCATTGAATTGATGTGATGTGCTTCATTTACTCAGCCATAAATCTGTACCCAGAAAACAAGACTAGTATAACACAGCTGGGGCGAGTGCTAACAGTAAATCCTATAAATTTATCTTTTCGTGGAAGTCATTTTTGAACTGAGTTTAATATTTCAGTGACATCAGTGTAGAATAGATGTCTGTGGGACTAGATGTCTGTGGGACAGGTTTTGTCTCTACAGTCAGTTGAACATTTCTGTGTTCATGGAGTTTAGTCTTGCTTTTTCCCTGACTCCTATTTGTTTTCATAGGTTCTCTTTGTAAAGAGTCCTTTTCTGGCCAAGTTTCTTCTTCATCACTCATGCCACTTACTCCATTCTGGACCCTTCTTCAGTCAAATGTGCCTGTGCTTCAACCTCCATTACCTTTGGAAATGCCACCGCCTCCGCCTCCACCTCCAGAATCCCCGCCTCCCCCTCCCCCTCCTCCTCCTCCTGCAGAAGATGGTGAGATCCAGGAGGTCGAGATGGAGGATGAAGGAAGTGAGGAGCCTCCTGCTCCAGGAACGGAGGAGGATACTCCATTGAAACCTTCAGCACAAACGACAGTTGTAACTAGCCAGGTGAGAAATGCCATCTGGCATTCTGAAAAGTTTTGGAGGACCGGGGCATGATTGACACGTTTTTTGTTTGGTTTTTTTGTTTGTTTTTTTTTGGGGAGTGGGGCTGCGTTGGGTCTTTGTTGTTGCATGCAGGCTTTCTCTAGTTGCGGCGAACGGGGGCTACTCTTCATTGTGGTGCGCGTGCTTCTCATTGCAGATCACAGGCTCTAGGTGTGTGGGCTCAGTAGTTGTGGCATGTGGGCCCTAGAGCACATGGGCTTCAGTAGTTGCAGCGAGCAGGCTTCAGTAGTTGTGGCTTGCAGGCCCAGTAGCTGTGGCTTGCGGGCTCTAGAGCGCAGGCTCAGTAGTTGTGGTGCACAGGCTTACTTGCTCCGCAGCATGCGGGATCTTCACGGACCGGGGATTGAACCTGTTGTCCCCTGCGTTGGCAGGCTGATTCTTAACCACTGCACCACCAAGGAAGTCCCTACATGTTTTATTTTAGAAGAGGATACTTAACCAGGGGCTACAGCCACTGACTAGAATCTCTGTTTCAGAGTTCAGCTGACTGTACCATCTCTAGTTCTCCTTCCACTAAAGCAATAAAGAGAAAAGCTACAGAAATTAGTACTGCAGCTGTTCAGAGATCAGCTACCATTGGTAGTTCTCCGGTCCTCTACAGCCAATCAGCTGTAGCTACAGGTAAGCATTGTGATTAAAATTATTTTCATCAGTGTGTTATCTTTGTTTCCAGAATTAGTTGTCATAAATTAATGTTAAAGGCTTTTCATTGCAAAGACTGTTTATGTGCATTTCTTTCAGTTACTAAAAACCACTGTTAACATTGGCATATATCCTTCCAGATTGTTTTCTGAGCATTTACACAACATCAGTGATCTTGATGTTTAAGTGCCTTAATGCTAAAATATTCAGAACACCAGAAAATATGACTGGGTTTTTTGTTTGTTTTGGGGTTTTTTTGTGTTTCTTGGCAGCGGGGTATATTAGAATCACTTTGTAGGTGATCTAACTTCCAGTTTCCTTTTCCTCCTCCTCCTTGTTTTTGGTTTTGTCACAGTGTCCTTTTTTTTTCTTTTTTTAAGATGTTGGGGGTAGGAGTTTATTAATTAATTTATTTTTGCTGTGTTGGGTCTTCGTTTTCTGTGCAAGGGCTTTCTCTAGTTGTGGCAAGCGGGGCCCGCTCTTCATCACGGTGTGTGGGCCTCTCACTGTCGCAGCCTCTCTTGTTGCGGAGCACAGGCTCCAGACGTGCAGGCTCAGTAGTTGTGGCGCACGGGCCTAGTTGCTCCACGGCATGTGGGATCCTCCCAGACCAGGGCTCAAAACCGTGTCCCCTGCATTAGCAGGCAGATTCTCAACCACTGCGCCACCAGGGAAGCCCCACAATGTCCTTTCTATAGTTTTATTTTATGTTTTCTGTTCTAGGTCACCAGGCAACAGGGATTGGACACCAGGCACTATCAGTTAGCCATCCAGCAACAGGAATGGGTCATCAGGCCAGAGGAATGAACCTACAGTCCAATTACTTAGGACTGGCATCAGCTCCTGCAATTATGAGCTATGCTGAGTGTTCTGTCCCAGTGGCAGTGACTGCTCCCACGTTGCAGCCAGTCCAGGCCCGCGGCGCTGTGCCCGCCACTGCCCTTATAGAGCCGCCGCCACCGCCTCCTCCTCCTCCTCCTCCTCCCCCACCACCACCACCACCACCGGCTCCCAAAATGCCAGCGCCTGAGAAGACAAAAAAAGGAAAGAAAGATAAGGTAGAGTAAACCTCTCTTTACATTTTAGTTTAAAAATTTTGTTTTATTGAGGTGATAGTTAAAGTATAAATTCAGTAGCACTTAGTATATTCACACTGTGGTGTAACCACCACCTCTCTCTGGTTACATAACATTTTCATAACTCCAGAGGAGAACCCTGTACCCATTAAGCAGTCACACCTCATTACACCTGCAGTGAACATTGGGGTGCATATGTCTTTTTGAATTATGGTTTTCTCTGGGTATATGCCCAGTAGTGGGATTGCTGGGTCATATGGTAGTTCTATTTTTAGTTTTTTAAGGAACCTCCATACAGTTCTCCATAGTGGCTGTATCAGTTTACATTCCCAGCAACAGTGGAGGAGGGTTCCCTTTTCTCCACGCCTTCTCCAGCATTTATTGTTTGTAGATTTTTTAATGATGGCCATTCTGACCAGTGTGAGGTGATACCTCATTGTAGTTTTTTGCATTTCTCTAATGATTAGTGGTGTTGAGCATCTTTTCATGTCTTTGTTGGCAATCTGTATATCTTCTTTGGAGAAATGTCTCTTTAGGTCTTCTGCCCATTTTTGGATTGGGTTGTTTGTTTTTTTGATATTGAGCTCATGAGCTGCTTTTATATTTCGGAGATTAATCCTCTGTCGGTTGCTTCGTTTGCAAATAATTTCTCCCATTCTGAGGGATGTCTTTTTGTCGTATGGTTTCCTTTGCTGTGTAAAAGCTTTTAAGTTTCATTAGGTTCCATTTGTTTATTTTTGTTTCCATTTCTCTAAGAGGTGGGTCAGAAAGGATCTTACTGTGACTTATGTCATAGAGTGTTCTACCTGTGTTTTCCTCCAAGAGTTTTACAGTGTCTGGCCTTACATTTAGGTCTTTAATCCATTTTGAGTTTATTTTTGTGTATGGTATTAGGAAGGGTTCTAATTTCATTCTTTTACACGTAGCTGTCCAGTTTTCCCAGGACCAGTTATTGAAGAGGGTGTCTTTTCTCCACTGTATATTCTTGCCTCCTTTGTCAAAGATAAGGTGACCATATGTGCATGGCTTTATCTCTGGGCTTTCTATCCTGTTCCATTGATCACTATTTCTGTTTTTGTGCCAGTATCATACTGTCTTGATTACTGTAGCTTTGTAGTATAGTCTGAAGTCAGGGAGCCTGATTCCTCCAGCTCTGTTTTTCTTTCTCAAGGTTGCTTTGGCTCTTCGGGGTCTTTTGTGTTTCCATACAAATTGTGAAATTTTTTGTTCTAGTTCTGTGAAGAATGCCATTGGTAATTTGATAGGGATTGCATCGAATCTGTAGATGGCTTTGGGTAGTATAGTTTAGTCATTTTCACAGTATTGATTCTTCCAATCTGAGAACATGGTATGTCTCTCCATCTGTTTGTATCATCTTTAAGGTCTTTAATCAGTGTCTCATAGTTTTCTGCATACAGGTCTTTGTCTCCTTAGGTAGGTTTATTCCTAGGTATCTTATTCTTTTTGTTGCAGTGGTAAATGGGAGTGTTTTCTTAATTTCACTTTCCGACTTTTCATCATTAGTGTATAGGAATGCAAGAGATATCTGTGTATTAATTTTATATCCTGCTACTCTACCAAATTCATTGATTAACTCTAGTAGTTTTTTTGGTAACATCTTTAGGATTCTCTTAGGTATAGTATCATGTCATCTGCAAACAGTGACAGTATTTTCAGTTACTTTTTGTATGGTGTCAAGTAGAGATCCAATTTCACTCGCTTGAGTGTGATACCCTGTTGTCCCAGGACCATTTTTTGAAGAGACCATTCTTTCCCCCATTGAATGGTAGACCTTATCTAAAATCAGTTCACCATAAACGTATGGGCTTATTCCATTGGTCTATATGCCAGCACCATGCTGTTTTGATTACTATAACTTTGTGGTATGTTTTGAATTTGAGAAGTGTGAGTTCTCTGACTTGGTGCTTCTTTTTCAATATTGGCTATTCAGGCCCCCTTGTAATTTCATATGAATTTAAAGGTCAGCTTTTCCATTTCTACATAAAAGGCCAGTGGAATTTTGATAGGGATTGCATTTAACCTGTAGATTGCTTGGGTTCTATTACCTATTTAACGATATTGAATCTTTCAGTTTGTGAGCACAGGATTCCTTTCCGTTTATTTAGGTCTTTAATTTCTTTCAGCATTGTTTTATAATTTTCAGTGTACAACTCTTTGATCTCCTTGGCTAAATTTATTCTCAGGTATTTTATTCTTTTGCGTGCTATTTTAAGTGGTATGATTTTACCCTTTTATCGTTATGTAATGTCCTTCTTTATCTCTTTTAACAGTTTTTTACTTAATTTCTATTTTGTCTTGTAGTAATCCACTTACCCCTTCTTTCTCTTGGTTACAATTTTCATGGAATGTGTTTTTCTGTCCTTTCACTTTAAACTTGTGTATGTCCTTAGATGTAAAATGAATTTCTTATAGACGTGATCAGTTTCAATTGCATTTTGTTTTTTTAATCCATTCTGCCAATGTTGCAACCAAAGAAAGTGGGGGTTCCAGCTGCTCACCACTCAAAAGCCAATAAAGAGGCAAGGTTGGCGGAAAGGGAAGTTTGCTTTATTTTTGATGCTGGCAACCCGGGGTGGGGAGGAACTCCTGGCCAGAGGCCGACTCCCCCCCACTTACAGTCAGTGGACAAGAGCTTTCATAGGTGAAGGGATCGGGCTACAGGGAGAAACAGCACTGTCAGCTCTAACAGTCCATCTTGAAATTGGTCATGCGCTGGCCTGATCATCATCATCGTGATTGTTTTAAGTACAATTAATCTTCAGTTCCAGGGTCGGTTTGTTCCCATTTCCTTGAGGCCATTTCTTGGAATTGTGGCAGCTTATGTCATGGCTACAGTCTGGTCATCATGTAGTTGACTTCTTCCACCTGGTGGGGGTTTCAGTATCTATAAGACGGCTCACAGAATGTGGCTCAGAATATTATCTATAGCCCTTGAGAAGGAACTAAAGGTCCTTAGCTATGCTAAATGACTAAACAATTATTACTTGGTCTCATTTGACTGTTTTCCTTTGATTCTGTATTTTCTCATTTCTCCAGTAAAACTTTTTGGCTGCGCTGCGTGGCATTTGGAATCTTAGTTCCCCAACAAGGGATTGAACCTGTACCCCCTGCAGTGGAAGCATGGAGTCTTAACCACTGGACCGCTAGGGAGGTCCCTAATTAAACTTATTCTTTGGCTGAAGTTTTTTCACAGACAAAATGTAGGCCAAGGACATGACAGGAAGGGACCATAGGGTCCTGCTCCATTGCAGTATGTGTTTTTTGATTGTAGAGTTTAATCCATTTACATTAGTAAATTAATAATTTACTATAGTAATTACTGATAAGGAAGGATTTGGTATTCCTTTTGGTCGTTTTCTGTATGTCTTAATAGCTTTTTTGTCTCTCATTTCCTCTCTTACTGCCTTCCTTTATGTTTAGTTGATATTTTTCAGTGACACATTTTGGTTTCTTTTTCATTTCCTTTTGTGTATATTCTATATTTATTTTCTTTGTGGTTATGGTAGGAATTACATATAATATCTATTTTAAACTGATACAGTCAATTGCAGACAAAAACTCCTTTACAGACGCACCTCCACTCTTGTTATTGGTGTTACAGATTAAATCTTTATATACTGTGTACCCATTAATGTAGACTTGTAATTATTCTTTATGCTTTTGTCTTTTAAAATCTGTAGAAGAATAAAAATTATGAACCAGTATCACAATAATACTGGTTTTTGTTTGTTCTTGTATTTACCTTTACCAGAGGACTTTATATTTTTGTATGACAAGTTACTATCTAGCATCTTTTCATTTCAGCTTGAAAAACATGCTTTAGCATTTCTTGTAGGGCACATCTAGTGGTAATGAATTTTCTCAGCTTTTTGTTTATCTAGGGATATCTTAGTTTTTCTCCCTCCGTTTTTTTTACGTTTATTTATTTATTTATATTTTGGGCTGCATTGGGTCTTCGTTGCTGTATGCGGGCTTTTTCTAGCTGCAGTGAGTGGGCGTTACTCTTTGTTGCGGTGTGTGGGCTCTAGGCATGCGGGCTTCAGTAGTTGTGGCTTGCGGGCTCTAGAGCACAGGCTCAGTAGTTGTGGCGTATGGGCTTAGTTGCTCCGCAGCACGTGGGATCTTCCCGGTCCAGGGCTCAAACCCGTGTCCCCTGCATTGGCAAACAGATTCTTAATCACTGTGCCACCAGGGAAGCCCCGTTATTTCTTTTTTTTTTTTTTTTTTTGCGGTACGCGGGCCTCTCACCATTGTGGCCTCTCCCGTTACGGAGCACAGGCTCCGGACGCACAGGCCCAGCGGCCATGGCTCACGGGCCCAGCCGCTCCGCGGCACGTGGGATCCTCCCGGACCAGGGCACGAACCCGTGCCCCCTGCATCGGCAGGCGGACTCCCAACCACTGCGCCACCAGGGAAGCCCCCCATTATTTCTTAAATAAGATCTTTGCCCCTTTCTCCTTCTGAGATTCCCATAATGCATATATTAGTCCATTTGATGATGTCGTATAAGTCACTTGGACTCTGTTCACTTTGCTTCATTCTTTTCCTTTTTGCTCTTTAGACTCAATAGCTTCAAATGACCTATCATCAATTTTGCTGATCTTTTTTTATGCCTATTGGAGCCTGTTGTTGAAATAATGAATTTTCAATTCAGTTGATGTATTTTTCAGCTCCAGAATATTTCTTTGGTTCTTTTTAATAATAATATCTGTCTCTTTGTTGACAGTCTCATTTTGTTCATGTCATTTTCCTGATTTCCTTTCATTCTTTGTGTTTTCCTTTAGTTCTTTGAGCACATTTAAGACAGTTGTTTTAAAGTCTTTGTCTAGTAAATCTGAATCCTTTCTTTCTTCCTTTCTTCCTTTCCTTTCTTTCTTCTGCGCTGGGTCTTAGTCGTGGCACATGGGATCTTTTAGTTGCGGCCTGCAAACTCTTAGCTGCGGCATGCATGTGGGATCTGGTTCCCCATCCAGGGATCGAACTTGGGCCCCCCGCATTGGGAGTGTGGAGTCTTACCTACTGGACCACCAGGGAAATCCCAGCATGTGTTTGTATGCTTTGTGATCTTTGGTTGAAAACTACACATTACAAAAAATAACAAACTCTCCCAGTCTTTGCATACTGTGTATGGAGGAAAACCTTCATTAATGAGTCCAACATGAAAGTGCAACATTTTTTCAGGCCTTTCCTGGGCATATGTGTTCCCTGGACATGTGCTTGTTTTTGTTTTCCTTTCCCCTTGTGTATTTACTTTTAATTTCCCTAGGAGAGTCACACCTGCTTCTTCTGTGAGCCTTATATGTTCTGTTGTATTCCTCTGCCCATAATCTTTTGCCCCCATCTGTCCATATGACTTCTGTCCCACTGTGGTTTTCACATGCCGCAGCTCCTGCTACTGCCTTTCACGGTTTCCAACCTGAGACCCAAAATATGCCACCATTCCTGACTGACGTCCAAGTTAAGACAGTATTGAAACCAGTCCCTAAGGCAACCACAGACAGTCTAGAACATATCAGACATTCCAGTTATTTCCTTCCACCTGGCGGGGGAGAACTGAGAATTGGGCCATTTCATCCCAACCACATTGGGGAGGGTGTGTGGAACAAGGGCAAGCGAACATGCCACAGAATTTCCTGTTTTTAGTGTGGGTTTTTCTTGATTGGGTGTTCTCTTGGTTGCTCAAGATCTTTGACTGGTTTCCAGAGTTCCCACAAAGCCATTTTAGTCAGTCTCTATTTGTTTATATAATATTTCCACGGGGAAACAAGGGCTTGGAGCTTCATAGTCTGCCATCTTTCTGACATCATCCTCATGAACATTTTGAATGCCTTAAATTACCTAAAGAAACTTTCTCCTCCCAGAGAAGTGTTATAAAAAATCAACAGTGACAGGATAATGTCTTGAATTAGATTCTTGTCAGACAACTTACTCTACAATACAGTTCTCCTGAGCCAACATACTGTTGACCACCTACGTGTCTTTACTTTGTTTAGCAGTCCCACTACTATTCATTCTTTTATAATTAAATTGTTAGAATGATCAGTGCTCAGGAATCATTTCTCTTAGGAGGCCTTCCGTGGCGCCCTTCCTCCAGTCTTCCGAGAGAGAGCTACTTCCACCTCCATTCATTCAGCAAGTAATTTTGTAGCCAATTTTGCTTTTATAGTCATAGAAATAATCGTTTTGAAAATCCAGTATTCTACATTAATATGTCATTTTTATGTACCTGTTATCTGAAAACAATGATCCATCTCTTTAGTGTTACTGGCTATTTTTAAAGAATATAACAGGGTGTGGGGGGGTGGGCAGTGGGATGAATTGGGAGATTGGGACTGACATATATACACTGATATGTATAAAATAGCTAACTAATAAGAACCTGCTCTGTAGCACAGGGAACTCCACTTCCCTGTACAATGGAAACTAACACAACATTGTAAAAAAACTATATCCCAATTAAAAAAAAAAGAATATAAGATATATACTCAGTACCTCTGATGTTCAAGAATATTTAAGACCAACTTATATTTTCAGTCTTTTTGCTGAAGAGTTTTGTGTGCGGTTTATTAGAAAATAAACTAGAAAAAAAAGGCATTCTAGCCATTTAATCTTTTTTTTTTTTTTTTTTTTGCGGTACGCGGGCCTCTCACTGTTTTGGCCTCTCCCGCTGCGGAGCAGAGGCTCCGGACGCGCAGGCTCAGCGGCCATGGCTCATGGGCCCAGCCGCTCCGCGGCATGTGGGATCGTCCCAGACCGGGGCACGAACCCGTGTCCCCTGCATCGGCAGGCGGACTCTCAACCACTGCGCCACCAGGGAAGCCCCATAGCCATTTAATCTTTATTCCTCTGGCTGCAGTGTTCCCATATTAAAAACGTGTTCAAACAGCCAGTGCAACTCGGGATCCATGGTTTTGAATGTGATCGGCAGTACATAACTTCTGAAACATAAAGTACTGTCCCATGACAAATAGAAATGAAATGCACTACAAATTTACAAAATCCTATGGAAGTCAGAATGAAAGCACAGCAACTCTACCTAGATCTATGTTTTTTTATCATACTTGGAGACGTTCGGCGAGAGGTTGTAACCCCAGTGAGCCCTCTATGCACAGGTGACCGTTATTAATTCATGTTACTTTTTACTCAGTTGGTTCCATGCTAACCCAGATGAGCTATGTTGGAACTTGTTGGAAGGGTGTATATACAGTGAGTCAGGTTGTACCACAGGTGAAATGACAGAATGGAATGTGGGAAGGTGTGTGGAGCAGAAGGTTTAAGCATTATAGATGGGCATTTCCCCAGAAGGTTAAAAACTGTCACTGACAGTCAAAATAGGGTATCGAGCAGGGAGCCAAGTAATTTTAAAACACTGAAAATATTAAGCTTATTTTCTCAACTCTTTTGGGGACTTAATCAAAAAATGTGTTTTCTCTTAAGTGCAGGCTGGAAAAAAAGCTTGGGTCCTTATACCCGATCCTCACAGGAGCACAGCACTCAGTCACACCTATCACTTGAGTGCCTGCTTGTCATGTTTAGAGTGTAACCTGGCCAAGTCTTCAAAACCGCAGGGATAAAAAATGGTTCTTATCAATGTCTAATACAGTGTTTCTCTAAATTCAAAGAACTAATCACAAATATCAGCAGGTATATTTTGAATACATACTGTGTCGGGCATTCTCTCTAGGAGCTTTGTATTCAGTAGCTAACCAACAAAATCTCTGCTTTTGCTTTTGTAGAGCTTTTCTGGTGGGCTTGGAGAGGGTATGGGGGGACTGGGTTGCAGAAACAGATAAGCAAATATATGTTCAGTGTTTAAAAATGCAATGAAAAAAGTGTAAGAGGACAGAAAGTGACCTTTGGGAGGTGGTACTGTTCAATGTAGATAGGGTGGTCAGGGAAGGCATCTTTGCTAAAGAGTGCCATTGATCAGAACTCTGAAGGTAGTGATAGAGCAAGCTATGTTGGATATGTAATAAATATCACGGCTTTTTTTACTGTGAGATTATGTTTATTATAGGCAATTTAGAAAATGAAGTTAAGCTGATAGAAAAATTTATTATTGTATCTCCTCTTAGAACTAATCTCATGTTTTGATATACCTCTTTGCTTTTTTCATATTTAATAGTTGCCTTTGACTCTGTTGGCTCTTTCCAGAAAAGCTGGTCATTTGTTTCTCAACACTGTGTTTCACTTGATGTGAACACTGCATCCATTTAAAATTGTAAAAAGGTACACTGTGATTCTTTTTTCCTTTTTCTTAAAAAAAAAATTTATTTATTTTGCCTGCGCCGTGTCTTAGTTGTAGCCCACAGGATCTTTAGTTGCGGCATGCAGACTCTTAGTTTCAGCATGCATGCAGGATTTAAATCCCTGACCAGGGATCAAACCCAGGCCCCCTGCACTGGGAGCATGGGGTCTTACCCACTGGACCACCAGGGAAATCCCGGGTACACTGTAATTCTGAGAAAATGAGACAAGGGCAAGAGTTTTGAATTTCATAGAATAAGGCTAAAGGAGATGTTTCTGACCTGATTTCATAAAACACCACGTTTACACTTTTTAGATTTTTGTGTGTGTGTGTGGTACGCGGGCCTCTCACTGTTGTGGCCTCTCCCATTGCGGAGCACAGGCTCCGGACGCGCAGGCTCAGTGACCATGGCTCTCGGGCGCAGCCGCTCTGCAGCATGTGGGATCTTCCCAGACCGGGGCACGAACCCGTGTCCCCTGCATCAGCAGGCAGACTCTCAGCCACTGCGCCACCAGGGAAGCCCCCCACTTTTTAGATTTTTAACCAAGCTTTAAGTTCATAGTTGGTAGAAATTTCTGGCAAGAACTTAGAATGGTATTTATCTTTGGTGTTTCTGTTCCTTTAATTTTGAAGTTCACTTATTCCTTCGAACTAAGGAAAAGATCCTGATCTCATGTGAAGGACTCATTCACTTGTTTTACGTATTATATTCCTTTGTTACAGGCAAAGAAGAGTAAAACCAAAATGCCATCTCTGGTAAAGAAGTGGCAGAGTATCCAACGTGAGTTAGATGAAGAGGAGAACTCTAGTTCCAGTGAAGAGGACCGAGAATCAACCGCACAGAAGCGAATTGAAGAGTGGAAACAGCAGCAGCTGGTCAGGTAAAAGAAAGAACCATAGATGGGGCGGATAGTGGTGGTTGTAGCTGTGGTTTTAGAGCCATCACGTTCTTAAAATCATAGCCCTTAATTTGATTCCTTTACAGACTTACCTAAGTAGTTTTTAGTTCATAGAAATGTTTATTTCCCTATAAAAATTATAATCTAGCCTTTTCAAAATCAGAAACATCAAATCTGTAATACTTCCCACTGATTGTTCCTCT